AACTGATGTTTTTATTTTACTTGATTTAACATAATTATGGATGACTTTGTGGCTTAAATCTTTTACTTTGATTTCTCTATTTTTGGTTTTCTTTATGCTGGTATATTCTGTCCATTCTTCTTATGGGTTATTCAATTTTCTTTTTTTTTTGTACTGGGGATTGGACCAGGCAGGCACTTACATCACTGAGTTAAATCCCCGGCCTCTGGGTTATCCCCAGCCTCTGGGTTATTCAATTTTCGAACCTCATTTTTATTTATCTACTGTGCTTCTGAGTGTGTATCTCTGTATAGCTTTTGAAGTAGTAGTTGATATATACGTCACACAGATACATATAATCACTTGAGCACTGTCATTCATTTTCCCCCAGTTTGATTAAAGTAATTTTTTCCTTCCTAATGTTCCAAGGTTTCTTTAAAATTCTCTTTTTCTTTAGAGAATATCCTTTAGTCAATCAATTAGAGTAGGCCTCTGGTCCCAAATTTTTCAGTGTTTATTCACAGAAGCATACTCTTATTTTCTCTTCATTCTAAAGTATATTTTTACCAGATGTACAATACTGGATTAATTTTTCTTTTTCTTTTAACACCTGAAAGATGCCCTGTTTCTTCTTTCTGGCCTCAGCCACCTGAGGAGAAATGAGCTGTCATTTGGATTATTTTATTCACCACTTATATGAGGTGTCATTTCTCTTGCTCATTTCAAAAGCTCTGGTTTTAGTTTTCAAAAATAGGACTACGATGTGTGTTTCCTGTGAATTTAGTCTGTTTGAGTTTACTCAGCTTCCTGAACTTGCAGGTTCACTTTTCTTGTCAGGTTTGGAGGACTTTCAGGTGTGACTTCTTCAAGAGCTTTTCTTTCCCACCAGCTGCATCCACACGCTCTCCCTGCAGGACTCCAGCGACAAACATTTGACCTTTTCCTACGAATCCAAAGTCTCTGACGGTTGGTCCCTTTTCTTTTGCTCAGTCATTTTTGCGTTGTTCAGGTTGGGGAAGCTCTGTTTTCTACCCTCATACTACGGGTTCTTTTCTCTCTCCCCGTCATTCTCCTCCTGAACAGGTGGGTAGTGCTAAATCTTCACGGAGCTTTTTATTTAGACTGTGGGGATTTTGAGCTCAAACATTTCTCCTTTTCATATCTTTTATTGTTTTCCTGAGATTTTGTTTTTTTGCTGAAATGTTCTATTTTCCTGTTCATTTCAAGCATAATTATTATTCTTCGTGAAATATTTTTGTAAAGGCTAGTTTAAATTTTTGTTCGATAATTCTAACATCTCTGTCATCTTGGTATTTTTGGTATCTGCTGATGGCTTTTTTTCATTTGATTTGAAATTTTCTTAGATCTTAGTACAAGAATTTATCTTTCTGCTTTTCCTGGCTATTAGGACAGGATTACGGGTCTTATTTAAACCACTTATTTCTGCTAGTTTTCCCTGACTATATCCCAGGCAGGAAAGCAGGTGCTACCTGCTATTTCTAGCTGGGTGTCACCTGGCTTTTTGTAGATGGTGAAACACCTGCTGGGTGCCAAAGGCGATACCAGCTCCCTAGTAGGCCTTGCGGACACCAGAGCAGCCGAGAGGGGAAGGGGCCTCCCTGTGGCTCCCAGATCAGCCACACTGACTGCAAGCAGGTGAACTTGACCGCTGGATGGTGCTGAAAATCCTCACTGCTCTCTAAGCCTCTTCAGACAGCACCGATTCCCACAGGTGGGGCAGAAGTCCAGCCTCCCCTCACGGGGCCCTCACAGAATCTAGGTGGGAAAAAGTGCTGGTTCCTGTCTCACCGCAAATAAGCTCCAGCAGCACTGGGCACAGTGGCCTTTTCTTTGCCTGACCTTGGCTGAAGGGGTCAGGGGAGACCATAGGTCATTCTGGCTGTGCCTGGAGTATACAGTGTTCTGTAAAATGTCCTGTTTTATAGGATGCCCCTCCCTGACCCTTCAGCCAGAAAAGAAGACTTGTGATATCAGTATCTACTCTGAGTTGCTGGCTTCTTTAGCTCCAACTCAGGGCTAATCACACAAGAAGAAAACTCCAGGAACGACCTGTCACACCTCTGACACTCTAGCTGTGGCTTATCTTTTCAGTTTTATTAGATTTGCTTTCTATACACTGTCCAAGGTTTCTTAGTCCATACTTGATTTTTAAATGTGCTTTTCAATTTCCCTCAAACTATAAAACTAATACACACACAGATATACACATAAAAGGCAAGGTAGATCTGATTCTAGTAAAATGCAATTTGCTATTCAATGTAAGATACTAAAAAAAATTGTTTTTCAGAATGAAAGATACTTGAAAACTTCAGTAACCAACTGAAATATAATTGGCAAGTATCTATTTATTTAGTGGTGATGGGATGGAACCAGGGACTAGCAAATACTAGGTAACCACTTTGCCACTGAGCTACACCCCTTAACACCTACAGCCCCTGGTAGCCTCAGATGGAATCTCACATTTGGCATAGCCACATTTTGTGTAATTCTTTAACCCTTAGGCCAATGAAACACTGCCCTTACATCAGCAAAAAGCAAGTTAAGCTACGGAAACCGGCAAAGTACCGCACTCTGCTGCAAGCCGGCCACAGGTCTGGAGGCTAACAGTCGAGAACCATGAACGCAACCAATTTGCTTTTCTGAAAGTCATTAATCTGGTCTTCCCAAGCACTTGAGTTTCACCCATTATTCTGCACCAGGAATGCCTCTGATACACTTCATTCTCTCAGCACAATTCTTCCTTACTAATGCACACAATTTAAAAAGCAGTTTTTTGAAAAGCTAAGCACAAACTCTGTGCTTATACCTGACACCCATTTTTATTTTAACAATGTTGAAACTCCCCCATAGTACCCACAAATGATGATGATGAAACCTCCACAGTGCCAACAATGAGAGCTCAGCACTAACTCATTCCCACTTTATTCTTTCCATCTCTAATTCTCACAGCAGTCTAACAAGGCAGGTGGGATTCGTGGATTTCTTTCACGTACAGATATGGAAAACTGAGATACAAATTGGTACACCCTACTTTCCCAGGACTCCTTACTCATAGGGATGGAGACAACATGACTTTTAAGTGTGAATCGTTGTACTGCTCTGACTCCCAGGAGAATGCACCTCCGTGCACATCTTCAGCACGCGTTTCTATTTCCATGAGGAGGCAGCACGGTCCAGGCCTCCTTCTGGATGCAGAGGAAAGCGGGGCTCCTTCACTGTGCTCAGACTGCTTTCCATGCAGCTTCTCCGAGCGCTGCTGAGATCCAGACTTTCCCTCACTCTACTGGGTTTAGGGAAACACTTTCTTTTTTTCACTTTTGCTAATTACATAAAACAAGTATAAAAACTCAAAACCCACACAAATGGATAATATGGTTAGAAGATAAACTCTTTTCTTAAATCTAACAATTAATAGATAGTCTTAGATTCTATAAATAGAATTGTATCTACTTAGTCACAGAAACAAATGTATAACACGTTGATACTTCATATATTCTTCTATAATGCCCTCTTCTGGTATTGTTCACCCAACAGTAGACCTTCAACTTCAACCTATATAGCTGATTACAGGAAGAGATCAAAATATACAGTGAATGCTTAAATTTTAAAAAAACTATTATAGTAAAAAGCATATTGCCATTAATGTACCTCAAAAATTACGACCTCCCCCTGCTTAAAACTATTTATCCTACCATTAAGATGCATATGATAAGCCATAAACCAATCACCATGAAAAAAACTTTAAAACACTTAAAAATAGAGACTATAGGTAGGTGTAGGGACAGGTCCTCTGGGAAGCTGGGAGGAAGAGCGCAGGTTTGATCCAGACTGGACAATTTAGGGAGAACCTATAACAAAAACGTAAAAAGGAGTGGGGCCTGGATGTGTGAAGGCACTGGGTTCAATCCCACAAAATGAACCAAAGGAAAATACTACAACAGATCAGACCTAAGTGCAAAATGTGAAACTATAAATCTTGAAAAAGATTAACAGGAAAAATCGTGATGACTTTGGGCTAGGCAATGATTTCTTAGTTACTACAGTAAAAGAAGGAAGTGATAAATTAGACCCCACCAAAGTTGAGTACTTCTGCTCCTCAAAAATCACAGGAGAACAATGAAGAGTGAGACTCGTAGGAAATGCCTGAGAATCACAAATACGGTAAGCAGCTGGACCCAGAATACACAAGTAAGTCTGAAAGTTCAACAATAAGCAAACCACAACTCAACTAAGAAAAAACAGCAAAGAATTTATCATTTTAATGGCTAAATACATTGTTTATATTTCATAACTAGATAGATAGGAGATAGACAGATAGATATGTGTCTACATCTTGATTTAGTTGCCTGATTTTGGGGGGAAAATTATTAACCTTATGCTTCTTCAAACTCTTCTGATTCAATGATTAGGATGAGATACCCACATACTTCTCTGTAGTTAAACATTTAATAAACAACTTTAACAGAAAAGGAAGAATACCTACAATTAAAACCATTCAGGAAAATCTAAGATAATGTGATTTTCGCAATGAATAGCTGTCAGCTTTTACAAGTACAGTGTTTTGATTAATTTTATCACTACCATTCACCATATTTTTAGGTATCACCAAAAAAGGCCAGATAAATTACTTTTGAAAAAATAACTACATCTGTTATATTCATATAGAGTAAAATTTCTACTGATAATGAATGAAGAGTAACAACTGCAGAACCTATAAAATAGATTGTTTTTGTAAAAATATGTATACATATATTTAAATACACTCTGTGTATGTGTACATTTGCTTTTGTGACTAAGTATAATTTTATATACGGAAAATTCTAAAACTACCTAACTTGGATTTGAGTAAGGAATTTAGTTAACAAAGATTTGTTAAATGTTTTAAAAGAATAACATCGGCAAGTGATCAGTTCTTTCAGATTTAATTTACATCAGTAAGTGCTAAAGAGCGGGAGGAAGTGGAAGAGACAGAGATTCGGGTAAAGAATGGTATACTTTACTCTATAAAGTAGACTTCTCCATTTTCCGTATAGGCCATCTCCCAGTTTTCAGGTAGAGGACCTAAGTTATCCTCTGCAGAAAGAGGTAGGTACTGAGGAAACTTCTGAGAAGGGTCCGTGATGGGAGCCGCGGAGGTGCCACTGTTCACAGGTGGGAGCGCTGCCTCCTGGAGAGCCTGCTCGTCCTGGTCACCAGAATCGGCTGTGGTCAGGGTGTGGGGGACACAGAGGAAAACAGGTCAGCACAGAGGCATTCAGCAACACAGCATGAGCCTGGGAAGCATACTGTTACACATCCACATTCTCCACAGCCCTGCGTAGCACATGCCAGGCCCTGGTTTCAGTACTGCACTGCTCATAACCTTGGAAAAGTCAGAAAAAAATCCCCCCACCAACTTGACCTCTGAAGACTCAAAAACTCAGAAGCCATTCGAAGCACAGACTGATCTACTCCCTCAGTCCATTCATAATATTTGGCTTCAAGGGTTGGAAGAAAATCCATGCTGAAAACACAAATACAGTGGCTTTTCTTTTTTTTCACTTTCTTTGTTTCTTCCTTTACTTTTTTTTTTTTTTTTTGATATTTTAAAAGTTATTTAAAACATTTTTGGTAGACATTGGCAAAGATCAAAGACTGAAAAACTAAGCTGCAAAGTATATAGAAGTTTAGAATACAGAAATAGCTTACAATGAGTCATATTTGAGCCTCTTTAGGAGGAGAAGAGACTGTCCTGTGAAAACCAAGACAGTCACCCAGAGCAATGTCGTGAGGGTGGACTGAGTGACCGGATTTTAAAAGAAAGCTCCAAGTGTACCAGCTTCCTTGCCTTCTTGTTTACTAGAAGGTGATATTATCTGAGTGTCCACAACAGCACTCCTGACAGCCTGTCTCAATTTTTATGGAAGCTGATGATATTAAATGTCAGTCTCCTCGGGACTTTAAAACATAATACTCAGGGAATGCAGTAATTTTCTATCTCCCACAGTAATTCCTCTGTAGACATTTGTGAGTGAGTGAAAAGAGACTGAAGAATAATAAATGTCTGCTTTCAAAGCTGTCTCTGATGAGCAGCTCCCAGCAACACGCTAAAGAGAAGAAAGGCAATCTAAATGGTGGACGGAGGACACGCAGTGCTCATGGAGCAAACACCAGACTCCAGCGTCACTGAGGAGGCTGCTTGTAGGCTTTTCCTGCCCTGCATCTCTTCTCTCGTACTCCAGTAGCGCCACTCAACCCTCCTCAAGAAATCAACCCTCCATCAAGGACTGGCTCCAAGACACACTTGCAGGTGGTTCAGGAATTAAAGCAAACCAGTGAAGGTCAGGAACTCCCAAGTCAGTGGTGACCTCTGGATGTTGGGGAAATTTAGGTGACAGTTTAGTTAAGCTGTACCTGCTGGTGACCACTTCCATACAGCTTAGCAAGACCTACTGAAAAATGGAACCACACAGATGATAGCAGAGCTGAAAGACAGAGAAAGCTGCTTAAGATCCCTCACCTAGCCTTTAATTCCATACTGAAATCAACACCCCACTGCCCTCTTCAATGATGTCATTCCCCACAGACACTGTTCTGCTAAAACCACTGAGCTGGTTTGTTATGGTTAATACACTGTGTCAACTTGAGCAGCTTAGAAGTTTAACTGAGAGATTCAGCAGGGAGCCGGGGTCCTTACTTTGCAAATATTCTCATCCTGTGCAAGAGGAGGGCACAGAGAGTTTGTGAGTGCTACCCTGTCCCTAGAAGGGGTGGGGGTGGTCTGCATAAATATAAGGGAGGAGAAGAGGCTTGTCCTCTCCTCTTTTGCTTTTGCTGGCTGCTGCCTTGAAGTGTTGCCCTGTGCCATGCCACCCTCATTGCAGACAGCTGACTGTGGACTGAAATCTCCAAAATCTGTAAGTTACATGGTTCTTCAACTTGTATCAAAGAATTCAGATTAATAAAACATAAAACAATTGTAAGTTTGAAAAAACAAAGAGGAAATTAGCCCCCCCCCAAAAAAAAATCCACTCTGAAAATGACTGATCAATAACAACATGAATTCAACCCTAGAAAGAAAGAAGATTCAGCCTTGCTTCTCTTGAAGGCTCCCTGCCTCAGAAGACAGGTTTAGGATCAACTTTAAATGTGTACAGAAGGGTCTTGCTGATGTACTCTGAAGATAGAAGAAATTCTCCAAAGCACGAGGAGAAAATAGGAGGCAGAACATCAGTTGTACAAAGGTGATTTTTCAACCTCTTCAACCTTTTGGAGCCTGTGTCTTCCAAAAGCACAGGAACCCACAGTTCCCACGAGGTGCTGCTGTGCAGCTCCCAGGCTAGAGCAGTGAGTAGTGGCTCAGGAGCCAGCCCCCAACCCCTGCTGGGCACCAAAGGTGCGGGTGGGCAATGTGGAGGGTTGCAGTGGCTCGAGCACCTCACTACCTACAGCAAAGTGGGCTTAGGATTCCAGACCTCTGATTTTTTTGGAGAAGATAATCTGTATTTTTTCCTTGAAATTTTCCATTAATAAAATTCCTTTACAAATAATGCAATCCTGCATGAGCAAAAAGCTAAAGCTTAAGGGCTGAGTCTGGAGCCTCAGGGCCCATATTTGATTCCGGGCTAAGGGGGACCACAGTCACACCGTGGTATGCCGTACGCCTCAGTATTTCCTCATCTAGACATGAGGATGATGACAACACCGAATGCACGGGTTGGGGGAAGGGTTAAATGAGCTATTTTTTGTAACACACTCCGAACAGTGACTGGTTTACAGTAACAACCACTTCCCTGATCGCTTTCATCTTTCTTAAGGGTGTTACTGATTTTTGTCTTTAGACCATCAGCCTTAGGAGTAGGCAGAGGAAGTGCAGGTTATGACAGCAGACCGCTGGCGGACTCACAGTTTGCTTGTCATGAACTGGGGGACACTGAAGCAACTTTACCTTTCGGAGTACTTCCGTGTCTGCCAAAGGGGCACCACACACAAGTCATGACAGCCAAATGCTCCCATGCATGTAAAGCACAGGATGTCCCTGAGGTGCCCCTGGCCACATCCTCTGTCTGCTTTTTGGTCACTGTGACGTGAGTAGCTCTGCTCACCAGATACATTCCCCATTGCAATTGCCTGGAGCCAACAGAACATTCTAGGAACCTCTGAAACTGAGCCAGAGTAAGTCTTCTGTCCTTCAAGGTAATCTTCTCAACCATGCTGAGTAGTTGAGACTATTACCACCCTACCCAACTTGTGCTCACTTTTACATATAATATCTAACGGGTAGCAAACTGCTGGGGAAGGCACAGATAATTTCATTATTAATTATAATTGAACCATTTTAATAGAAAATGGATGTAAGAGAAAAGGGTAGTTGCTATAAATGGGCTACCACGTATGAGATGAGAGAGAGACTCAGTTTAAGATGGACTCAAGAGTACGTAGCCTCACTGAGTATGCAAAACTCATTTTAAAACCAAAATCTTGGGCCAAGGCTGTAGCTCAGCAGCACAGTGACTGCCTGGAAAGCACGAGGTCTCAAGTTCAATTCCCTAAAGAAAGAAAGACCAAAATAAAAATTCTGCTATGCTTCCCAAACCTAAATTACACTGAAGGAAATACTAGTTTGCTAGGAAAGTATCTAAGTAATTTTAATCTCCTGGCGGAAAAAATGTCCCTCCAGCAACTAGACAGTTTAAATTACACAAGTGTTTGTTTTTAAATTTATATTCAATTTATTATTTAATTAATTTGTGCATTACTGGGGATTGAATCCAGAGCTTTCTCACTGAGCTACATCCTCAGCCCTTATTTTCTCTCCAGTGCCACAAAGCACCAGCGAGTGTCGCAAGTCCCATTCCAACCCTGCAAGTCGAACTCCAGAATTTCCATGCACATCTGCTGTGCTATTTGTTTTAAATCAATTCTATCAGCTCTAAGACGCTCCAACTGTGTTGACTGATTTTGCGCAGTAAGAGGTATACGTAAATCTTTGATACAAGGTCTTGCTAAGTCACTAAATAGTCTAGGCAATTACATCACTGTAACCTGCAGTGCCTCCCAAAGTCTCTGTGTTCAAGGTATGGTCCCCAGAGCAGCAGTGTTCAGAGCTGGGCCCTTTGCTCAAATTTGTTATCCTCCTGCCTCATCTTCCCAGATTCCTGGGATTACAAGTATGGATCACCATACCTGGCTTGTGTTTTTATATTGTATGCTTTCCATGTCTTCTTTCCAGTTAAATAATCTCAAATAATCCTATTCTCTGAAAGTAGATGGAAAGTCCAAAAATGATGGATTGGGACAGACACAGGACAGATTCAAGAGTGCATAGCCTCAGTCAGGGCTTGAACTTTGACATGCTCAACTTACTGAGGAAAAAAAAAATCATTCATTTGATTTGCAAAACACTCAGAAGCACGGCTAACGCTTTCTAACTGAAGGCTGCCAATGAGTCCAAAAAACACAAGCAAAGGGGAGCGCTGGAATGAGTGCAGACGGGGAGACAGGACCCCAGCTCTCCCCACGGTTAATGGTGCAGCACACACTGTCTTTACTGTTCTTATGTATAAATCAGGAAAGCAATATCTGGGTTGCTATCTCTCAAGACTTCCAGGAAGTTGATAAGACACCCATGAGAATGGTTTGAAAACCATAAATGAACATAAATAATATGCGCATTCACAGGAAACCAGAAGTTTCCAAATGCACATAAACTACCATGGCATACGTATGTGCACACACTCTCTCTCTCTCGGAGACTTTTGGGAATGACTTAGAGAGCACATGTTTATGTCCAAAAAATCCTTCCTGAGGCTTATCTTAAACTGTGCATGTGTCTATGTATATCTCTTACTGTGCAAAATCAGTCAACACAGTTGGAGCTTCTTAGAGCTGATAGAATTGATTTAAAACAAATAGCACAGCAGATGTGCATGGAGATTCTGGAGTTCGATTTGCAGAGTTGGAATGGGATTTGCAACACTCACTGGTGCTTTGTGGCACTGGAGAGACTACTTGACCTCCCTGGAGAATGCATACAGAAATGTATCTTTCACACAGTAATGCAGAAGCATCAGTTCTTGTAACCACTATGGTTCAACATTCAAAACTGCTTCATCATTGCCTGGTGAGGCTATTACGAAAAAAAGGCCTAGAAATAAGGTGAAATAATATTCTGAAATCTTCTGATTAATGGATAAATCAGAGATGCTTCAGTTGTGGTGGCTTATTACACAGTTTTTGAGCTGTCTGTTACAAGTAGTTTTAGAACAAGTTTTATCTGTTTACATAAGTAACTGTGCACTCTGGCCAACAGTATAATTCTATCTTTATTAAGCACACACAATGCGTGCTGTCTCTCAGCGGCTCCTTTTAGGTTCCTAAACTGAGTACATTTTCTGGAAGACAGTCCTATTGTCTGGTGTTCAACAGTCAAGCTCTCTGCTGAGTGTTCACTGCTCAGCTCCAGCCTCCGTCATCCACTGTGGAAAGGGAGTGGAGGCCGCCTTCCTAGCATGTATCTGCCCCCCAAGCCAGCTGGTGTTCTGTCTACAATGCCAGTGTTTCAATGTATTAGCTATGATTCCCTCAAAAGATCCAAACAAATGGCAGTAAAAGAAATAGCAACTGCATATTACTTCAGATATCCTGATAAATATCATTTTTAATGGGTCCACAGTATTTCTTCATTCCTTTATTGTAAGTGGTTCAACCAGATCTCATTATACTGCTCTTAAGCTAGGCTCGATAAGTAGAAGGTAGATTTAATATGGTTGAAAATAAAAAATGCTTTGATACAACAGATTGCACACACATAGCATAGACTGATGTATTAACTTTTGGAAAGAATGAACATCAGTTAGTGTCTGACAGATCATCACCAGTGATAGTTTTAGTTTTGTTAATGAAGGCACAAATGCCACTTGACTTTCTGCTTTGTGCAGAAAATAATGACCATATGATTTTAGCAGCAATGGCAGGGGATGACACTTTGTGCTTTGAAACCAAAATTTCAAGTGGGGATGAGATGGGGTTAGACTGTTGGAGGCACATGGCTTTTACAGACATAAATTTGTAGTAGTTAAAACAGGAAATATATCAAGACCTATAGTCAACTATGTTCACTTTGTTCTTGCTTTTTACTGAGAAGCCTACTTACTACAGTACTTATATGGGGCAGGGCACATAGTTTTGGGGACCCTCCAAACTGCTGGCAGAACTGTTTCACGGTGCCTTACCCAGCAAGTCTTCTCTTGCTGCAATCACATCTATGATGTTACTCCTAGTTATTGGGGCATCATGATATTAAAGCACTAGATTTTTCTGATAATCTGTTTTAATTTTGGTGAAGACTAGTATAAACGGATGAAGGCTAGTCCCAAGGGATGAAATCAGTTGATTCTAATAAAGACAGACATAAAAAATGGTGAATTCCTTTTAGATACTATAACTATAGAGCCACTGATCTATCATATTCTAATGGAGAAAATCGAAGTTTTCACAGAATCAAATCTGGAAGTTATTAGGAGAAACGTAGCAGTGACTTAATTCTAGTCTGTTAATTTACAGGTGAGTGAGATTAGCCAAAACGTCCATTAAAAAAAAAAAAAAAAACCCAACACACCAAGAGCCACCGCATAGTATCAAATATGTTTTCCTCCTTTAACTAGTATTTTTTGCAAAAGGGTTCAGTTATGCTTTTGCTATTGTAATAAAGTCATCAAAGAACCTTTTAGTTGCCATCTTAACAAACTGTAGGGTTTTCAACTTGGTTAAAAGATTTTATAAAAACCTCAGAGACCCATACAGCTATAGACAGTATTCAACAACAAGAAACTTTTCCTTGAATATTCTATTAAATTTGGTAATACGGAGGGGAAATGCAGGTCTAATAATTTTCCCATTCATTAGGGCTTAGTCTACCAAACTAATGACAGGAGTATAATGATACGAGGAAAGGACAATATGAAGGAAAGATCTATATGCCGAAAATGGAAAGTTTGTCCATAGCTCTAACTTTAAAGAATTAAATATTAGACAAACAGAAGAAACAAGATGGTTTGCTGAGTCAAATTAAAGGCTGGGGTAACTCACATACTTCACAACTCTTATAGTCCAAGTTATGGACATGAGAGATTTCAAGACCAAAAAAAAAAAAAAAAAATCCACAAAGTAAAAAAGTTTAAATATATCATTTTGAAAAAAAAATAAATCAAGCTGATATTTCTTGGCTCTTTTTTTAAACACTTAGCCCCCACCTTGATTAAAATATCTGGGAAAAGTTACAGTGCTCCCAGTACTGGGTGGTCCGTCTGAATTCTGGAGATGGCTGACTCCTCTCCAGAGCAGCATCTTCTCCTAACTCTTGCCAACCTCCCCTCCCCCACCTCCCCTTTCAGCCACATCCATGCAGGTCTGGCCTTTACCTGTGAAGCTACTGTTCATTTCAGGAACGTCATCCTCCTCCTCGTTCTCTGCATGGGCTATGCCAGCATTTTGCATATCATTGTAGGACTTGGTTCGCTTTGGGGTCGACTGCTTGGAGCCAGACTGAAGGCTTTGCAAGGCATCCGTTGTGATCACTTTCCCACTGACTGGCTGGCTGGGAGGTTTGGGTGTCCCATAATAGTTTCCTAGGTGATGGAGAGACACATTTGCATGTTTCAAAAAGAATACTTCAGGTTTTTTTCTCTAAGACTGCACATCCAAATCGTTCAGCATACTTTAAAAAAATGAAACCGGGAAACTATAGCACACTGCATTTCACTTCTGGAATGGGGTAGTGAAGATGGCTTTGCTATGCAGATACATCCAGTGATTACAGAAGCGAAGAGGAAAGCTGTACTGTTTTAGTGCAAGGAAGCTACTAGAGCTAAAAACAAAGGAGGCTGAGCTGAACAGAAAACCTTCATTCTCATTACATTTGAATTTCAATTGGTCATCTTTTTATATATAGTCACTAGCATAATGCAGAAACTGATTTAGAATGAAGCTTACAGAAAAATAAAAATTCATGATTGCCAGCATCCTTACAAGCCTGAAAAGCAGACGTCACTTGCCCTCTTAGAGGGGGAGCCAAAGCAGTATTTTAGAAAGAGGGCAGTGAACACGCGTGGTGCCTCTTGACCCGAACAGCAGTTGGGTCACGCAGGGTGGTAACAACCCTTGCAAGCTGCAGCAGGGAGCTATGTGTCAAAGTGGCCCTTCAGAGATTATTCTCCTAGAAATGGCCCAGATTTGCTTTTCCCCACAGTGTGGTCCAAATCCCAGTATAGTGTGTCATGCGATTTTGAGTGGTACAGTAAGTATATTCTTGTATCCTATTTTTCTAATAGATGTATCCATTTTAAGTCTGCAATAGAGAAATCTAGCTAGTAAGTGATACTAGCAATACAAAGTTTCTCTTTAAAAATTAAGAGAAAAAAAAGGAATGATTTTTTTTTATCTAGAAGTTTGAAAACTCTGATTTATATCAGAAATTAAGCAACTGAATAAGCAATAGTGTTGGCAGTAACAGAAGTTTCCTGTTGAAAACTTACACTTAAAAGTAGGTTATTTTTTAAAAGTTATTTTGAAGAAAGCATTTAATAAATAGGTATGGTCCCTTATAAAAAACATGAAGGTGGGTCATGAATAATCAAAGTTTAAAAAATTAATAATCAGTAACAGTGACTTTTTCTTCCACGTGATAAAAACAGCAACATTAAAATAGCATTGATCCACTGAACACTGTACATCTCTTAGGATAAGAAGATAGGAAGTGATGCTGAATCCTTCAATAAATATAAACCAATGTTTGTAAATCCAGTAAGGCAGAATTTGAATCTAATAATAAATACTGTAAACAATACCTCTTCCCTATGAACCGACCCTATACTCTAGACTTGGTATCCAGTTACTTAACTATATAACCATGAAAGGCAAAGAAATCAAAATTTGGTCTTCATGAAATCTACAAGTGAACTGGCTTTCATTAAGCCTTATCCTTATAATTACAATTTTTAAAAAAGGATTTAGTAGTTCCTTAAAGTATTTTTTTCAATCAAATTTTTGAATATACACTTTCGTTTTCTTTGAGGGAGATATGATGCCTGTATTGGCAAAGGAACTCTGAACATAAAAATTTAAAATCACGGCAGATTAGGGGGATGATAAGATCAATTACATTAAATGCACAGGTGAAAATGCCACAAAACTCAGCATTTTGTAAAAATTCATACATACTAATAAATACACTTATTGGAAAAAAGAAGGAAAAATGGAAAAACAAAACAAACAAAAAAAAGGACATCATATGTAAATGAACCATCTCAAGTAGGAATCCTGTGAGTGCTTTCTCCTGGCTTTCACTCAGCTCGGTCAGTACAGCCCTGCCCAGAAGGTGCTCTTAAGGCTGCATGGCCCCTCTAAAGACTACAGGCTGCTAACACAGCGAGCAGGAGCCAGCGAGGAGGAGTCCGAGCACAGGCGGGCTCTCCAGCAACGAGGGTGGATCCCAGTCTATGACCCAGGCCTTCTCCCAGGGACAAGGAGGCCAAGGTGTCCACTTTTCCCTGACCAAGCACTACCTAGTGAAGGGGAGGAAAGTAAAATGGTTAACTGTTTAAAAGCTAATCTCCAACAGTGAGTGAAAAAACAGAATTCCCGTACTACTGAATTTAATTTTTTTACCATTATTATTACACAATACACATTTTAGAGTCCGACATTAAACTGAGACTAATGTCTATAAATAAGAACCCACTGCAAAGTGCAAAGACTGCTTACTTGTAAGTTTATAATCTTATAGTCATAAAATCTAGTTTCAGTGACATTAAACTAAAGTCATATTCTTAAAATTATTATCATTCAAAAATCAATGAACTCTTTGACATTCATGGTTTACAACAGAAATAAGCACCTAGAGAATAAAAGTTCTACCTACATTTGGCAAATATGTGTGCATTTTCCAATAGGTGTCTGTCCTTGGCTTTCAAGTTTGAAGTCTAAGTAAATAAATGACTAGCTGATTTATTAATGCAAGTACACAAAGTAATCCACTCATTCAGAACTGTTTCCTTTTTCTGGAAATTAGTTTAAGATTGGAGAATGACCGAGTACTTATTAGGTTCAACTATGAAATTGCTGTTAGGTATCAATCAATAGCCTAGAAGATACAGCACAGTTCAAATTTCACCGCTAATTCACTATGTGATCCTCAGACAAGACATTTTTATAAGTTTCAATAAATCTTTGCTCTTACCTTGAAATTCTAAGGGAACTTATTTTATTCCTATAGCACTGTTACAAAGATAAAATAAGAAAGAAAAAGGGCTGTGGAAATAGCGCCGTATGAAGGTCCTGGGTTTCCATCTTCAATAACACACACACACACACACACACACACACACACACTCTCTCTCTCTCTCTCTCTCTCTCTTTCTCTCTCTCTCACACACACAACCCATTTAAAGTTGGTCACTACACAAGACTGGGTAAGTGGTACCTACTACTGATGTCACGCTTCCCAGTCTGTAAGCTGTAGTCCATGCCACACTGTGTAGGAGTTAATGAAAGCCTGTGTTTACAGTGCCCAGCCCAAGAGAACTGTCCACTCTGTTCACTGCTGTAGCTAAGCAAGGAACCAGTGACCACGGAGCAAAGCCTCCCACAGTCCCTGGATGCTCAGCACTTTTGAACAAGCAGCAATGACCCTGGAGGATGACCTGACAATACACAGGACTTTCTACATGTACTGTCAGCTGTAAGGTGTCCTAGTGTGACACAAGTCCAGTGCTTTATGTTTCTCTTTGGTAAGCTTTACAGAAAAGCCTCTGTCTAATGGTAGAATGTCAGGGGCCTCACACTCTCCTTTAGAGATTTGTCTTGGGATTCCCTCTCACTTATTTTTTTAAGACATTTGATCTGGTGTCCATCATTTAAAAATGGAGTGTTTCCAACTGAAACTTAGATTCTCAGTATCATTAGAAAAACTCTTCAGGCTCTCCATGGTCTCCAGTTCTTCTATGCAATGCTGATAAGCAGACCCTGTCTCAAGCTGATCTGCCTCAACATCCTCAAGGAATCAACTCTACTGCCGGTGCTGCTCAGCTCCAGTCCAGAAGAGAACTCCATAGCTTTGCAGTACAAAGGACTGGGCATGAACAGGGGCACAATCAGAAGTATAAGAAGGGATGTACAAAAAAACCTAAGACTTCTAAAACTCCTCAGTGTTCACAAATCAACTTTTAAATTGATTCTGAGTGAATCTGTTTTAGCGCTGCACTTCTGGCCCACGAGGTTGTGATGCGGGATGGGTAACATGTGGCACGATGCCATGGGGGCTCTGAGGCTTGTAGCCAGAATCTGACCTCTTGTGTACTCTCCTACCCAATCTGCCTGGCCCCTGAGGGTTACACATCACAACAGTTACCTAAAAGAAAACTCTGCGTCTGACCAGAGGGTATACTCCAGTCTTAAAATAATCAAGCTGTGTCTAGCCCTGGCAGAAACAAAAACCTTGGAGTAAGTATGCATTGTGCACAAGAAACTGCGTGAAGGATCTATACATCACTGACTGGTGTTGAGTAAAAATCACTGGACGATTTATAAATGATTTAAAAGTTAATTGAGGTTGTTACCTGGCAAGCTACTCAGTGTCTATGATCCTTGAGCATGACTTTTCCATGATCTCAGGTTACTTAACCCAGCACATGTTTCCTGAGGAAGCCAGGCTCCCTCTCGAGTGAGACTGCGCTCTCCTGCTATCTTCAGAACTGGCTCTATGATAAAACCCAACAGAGGTGGTGGCTTGGGAGGGAAGGCCAGGGGAGAAGAGGGGAAGGCACTGCTGGCCCTAATTAACAGAATCATTCTTTGGCCATGGAAAAGCCAAAGAAAATATTTTCTGACATATATTTAAAAATTAATGAGGACTGCAAATCAATATTTAGAGCTTTATAAAATATTCAAGGAAGACTGTAACCCTAGATTTTAAGTAAGAATGAATCAAATCTCAAGAATGAATGGCCCCTCAATGTGTGCAACACTAGCACTCATTCATTCATTTCCTTACAGAGAATCTTTATACTATATAGGTGCTCTGCTAAGCACTGGAAAGAAAACTTCACTAGAGGCCGCTCCTCACAATGGCTCTATGTCACACATCATTTCTCTCAACCTTGAATGTGCAAGCTTAATTGTATATGAAACGCACATGGTGATTCAGCGGGGGGGGGGGGGGCTGCGAGTTGCTCTTCTTAGGAAGGATGCAGGAGCTGCTGGTGCTCTTTGAGAGGAACTCTCCCCTCCTGTGCAAACGAGAAACACCGAGGTCCAGAGCACCAGGAAAGCCTCTTGTCAGGTCACATGCTCGATCCATGCTAGTCCAGGGCAAAGGGGGAGGTTGCTGGAGTCCTGTTCTTTGGCAGGACTATTTTCTTCCAACAGGACAGTTTTCCAAAGTGAGCAGGAGACCAATGATGGTTCTTACCATCATTGGTGGAAATCAAGCGCACACATTTCAGTGGCAGAGTGTCACCCCTAGGGGGCAAAAAGAGCTCTCCTTTCCTTTATGGAGAGGGGTTTATAAAATGCTTACTCTCTTCAGTGTGTAGGCTCACTCATCTGAATGCAGACCGCAGCACAGCTGCTC